AAACCCAGCGTGTTCCGAGAAGAGTATTGTCATTACCATTGACAAAAATGGTGTTGGCGAGGCGCAGCCCAACCTCATGAACGGGCCTGCGAGTCTGATCAGATATACCCGGAATGCTGGTCTCAATCGAGAACACAAGAGCGGCCTCTTCTGTTCCCATTGTTCTGGCACGGCGGAGCGCAGCAGCTTTTGCATTTATATCCTTTGCCTGTGCAATCGTGACAGTCAATCCTTCGGAGTCTGATATGGCACCATCGGAGTTTGTCGGTAGACGTGCATCTGGTATTCTATCGACGACAGCAAGGATAGCGTGGATGGGACCTGGAGACGCTGACGATGTAGGTATCTGGTAAAGTCTGTTCATCCACTGTTCGAGGAATTGGCTGTCGGGATTTATCCATTGAGCGAAAGAGGGAGTGGCGAGAAGGACTGGAACATTTCCTGTTTCCGCTAACGATGAGGAGGACGCAGGTAAGCTCGAAAGCACATCGTCTGGAGTCTCTTGACTATTTAGCTAGCTGCTCCAAGGAGGGGGAGCGAGAGCACTCACGATCTGCTCAGGTGTCTTTGTAAGCCATGTGTAGGCGAAGGGTAAATGATCAGGAGCTGCTGTGCTAGTAGTCTGAAGCCATCTTCGTGCTGTGCGGTTCTGTAGGTGATACGGGCTTGCCCTCCCTTGTACTCGACAGCATCTGCGAATCTGCTGGAGGGGGGCTGACTTGATTGCTAGCTGCGTTGACATCGAGAACGGGACCAACCCGAGTCTCATCGGCATGAAAGCATCAATAATGATACTTGATGGACAGGGATGACCAGTAGATCCCGGAAGACGTTGAGCTGGTAGGAAATGCAGAGTTGATAATTTCTGTATGCGGAGAACATCTTGCGGAGTTCAAACTACTACCGAATGCCAAGACATGATACAGAGTACAAAGGGTGAGAATGGCAAGGTATACTCGGCACCTCTATCATCATTTGCATATCATTCATCTGGGAGCATATATATGAGTGCTGATACTACGTCCCCCTTCCATCTGACGTCGTGAGCTCTTCCCTATTTCCTCTCCAATTGCCATGCCGAGCGCACCAAGGCCTCGAGAACGAGGCAAGCTCCCAAGGTGCAAGATGACTACTGAAGTCAACCGATGAGTGCTCAATTGATTCTATAGAGATATTGGACATCGATGGAACTGATGGTATTCTAAGCCGGGTTTATGATGTCTTTCTCGCTTCAAGTAAAGCGAACGAAAAATCTGTGAGATAGACCTCGAACTAAGGATAGGCCTGACGTAGGCCCAGGCAACAGGAATAAAACCACACTGCCACTTAGAGATAAGGTACTTCGATTAAAGAGCGTCATGCCGCTAATATTTCTCAGCCACTTTTGTCAGTGTTCGAATAAGCATAACATGCAATCACACGTAGCATCGACGCAAAAGAGATCCCTTTCTTGTTCTGGCGATATTCCTATTTCTTAGGTCCACCATCCAACCCTGAGGGTTCGCCCGCCTTACCAGATTAAGGTACCTTAGTTGAAGGACTCAAGGAAGGGTTCCAGGCAGCGGAATATCAAATCGTCAACCGTGGCCATCCACCAATCAGATTAGTCTGTACACACATGAGCCACAGGCGGTCGGTAAAAGCATGACGTAGTGCTCAGCCTGCAAAAGCATGATGTATGTATGGGCTTGGTATGAGGCTATGGGATACTCACCAGTCACCACCACAAATGTCGCGTTGGGAAAAAGAACAAAAGGTAGCTGCGTATTAAGATCGTCTTTGGACCATAAAAGATAATATTTTAAAGAATGAATTGATAAAAACAGGCGTCTATCGATTCCATATGTAGCAAGAGTAACGCAAGGCAAAGACAGATTGGCTGACGTTAGTGGAGGTACCCAGGTAGGTAAGGTACCTTCAAGCAAGTCCTGAGGTTGCACTACCCTATGTGTTGCCGATGATTTAAGAAGCAGCTTCCGCCCTATTCCTTGCCAACCCTTTCCCCATCATCACTTATAATTGTCATCTTTCTGGAATTACCTCTTTCATCATCTACTCAAACATCCATCATATTACTCTTCGATATCTTCCCGTATCACCATACAGACTACTAAATCAAGATGCCTTTCACTGCTTCGTAAGCTTCCCCCCTTGTTCCGTTCTTGCCGGTCTACGCTCATGGGCGAGTACCACCCATGAGGAGCGAAATTCATTCTCCTGGTGGTCGGCACCAAAGAAACACTGAGGGTGAAGAAGCTACTAACCGTTCTCTCGCTTTACAGTGACATCTGCAAGATCCTGTTTGCGATCATCCTGCCTCCTCTGGGTGTTTTCCTTGAGCGAGGATGTGGTGCTGATCTTCTGATCAACATCTGTCTGACCATCTTGGGTTGGATTCCCGGTATCATTCACGCCTTGTATGTACCCATTTCTTTTCGTGGTTGCCTAGCTCTCAGAGCTAACCGACTTTGCGCAGCTACATCATATTCAAGTATTAGAGCGTGCTCCACCACTAGCCGATCACCTTCGTCTCTCTTGAGTCCATCTACGGAAAATCGCAAACGAAAATATATCTCGCTCCATCATGTCAGCTGTTATGAATCCTAGATGCGAAAGAGATGCGATCTCTCTTGATAAACTACGGATGATCAAAGAGCGGTGTTGTCAACATGGTTCCGTGGAGCGCCGGTCGAGATTAGCCCCACTAGTCTTGGCAGTTGTTGCTCAAATGCTGTGACTTGACCGTGCTATACCACCTTAATTGCAATACGGCCTAATATCTTCTGCTCTATCCTCGTTGTTTTCATTATTGCTGTGCGCTATGTTTCTTGTCTTCGACTCGGATGATACCAGCTCATTTCTCCCAGTGGGCTTCTGCTCTTGGTTTGTTATTAGTGATTTCACGTGATCATGGCAATGACATAATTTTACCAACCTACAAATCTTTGTTCAATAATGAGTTTAAGTGCACAATCAGTTGTCTTGAATCTTTTCTAAAGGCTTTGTAGGTGTTATCTCTTAGTCCATGGACAAATATATGGCAACCACTTCAGTTATAAGTGCGCAATTGGTCTCACAAAATAAAAGTTGGTACGAAGCACAGGCAGGGTGCGGCCCAGGATCGCCAATGAATTCGCACGTCACTGACCATATATATAGTCAGAAGATCATAATTTCCGCTGATCCCTGGGGCCACGAGAACCTTCTACATCTCCAAAGTCCTGCTGAATCAGGCAATACCCACTTAAACATCCACTTTGATTTTAGGACTTCTTCAGCAGTTGGCCGCTCTTTCAGTCAAAATGCGAGCATTTAGCACTCAATAATAGCTGCTGTTTCCTCCCTGTCAAACTCATCTCCTTGACCACTCTTCCGTCGATACTTCTGCACGCCTTCCTCAATTGGCTCATTGATTGGAGGCCACACATACCGGCTCTTCTTTGGACGCCCATCCTCATCAAGGAATTGATTCCGTTCTTCCCAGCGATTCCACCAGCTTATAGGGCATAGCTCCTAGAACATTGATTTGCTGGGACACCATCTCATCTGTTTAGTCTCAGATCACTGCTGAAGATGGCTTTCATACGAAGAATCTCCCATGTTGAGGTGGCCAGGCTCTGAATATCTGCTGAATATGAGAGCTGGGCCTGCAGTTTGAATCAGGCTTCTGGGAAGGCGAGCAGTGTGTAGCAGTCTTCCCTATGACAAAACTCCTCTGAAGCAAATGCCTCACCCAAGTCACTGAGAAGCATGCGCGCGTTGGATAGGGTGAACTCTTCTGCTTTTTCCCCAGGGTAGAGCGGTATTACTGCCTTCGCGGGGACATTGGACAAATGTGGCTTTCCGTTGCGCTCATAACGGTAGCCGTCTTAGGCTCGCCATATCCTTCATATAGTCGCTTGATCGAAAGCTCGTCAAGACCTGATGAGAGTTTGACTAAGACGTTATGGAGATGGACATCTAATAAGAATACCAGTCGAGGATAAAGAGGCCACAGAGAATTGCGAAGACTAACAGAAGGCTGAAAGATTCCTCTCTGAGATTACATCGAGCCAGAGCCATTGTTTAGCATGGACGTGTCCCATTAGGGGCATGTGGTTCGAATTCACCTAGGGAACCGGGGATGATTTACAGCCGGGATGTACGGACGAAGATGAAAGAGCTCCAAGAATCTTGGTTTCTTGCGAAAGCGTATCTGTTATGCCGACTTTGAAAGCAGCGTACTGCTCTAGCTGAATGGTTGAATAGCCTTCAAAATTCAGTTTGTCCACAATGCGGTAGCGCCTGTGTGAGATGTCGCCAATCATAACAGGATGATAGCCGCCAGGCTTGTATTTTCAAGGTGACTCGACGCCATCAATCCAGTTGTACTCTTCTTCGCTGTGGGACATTGCTGTTGATGAACAAGAAGAGGTGGAGCTTAGTCGCAGGAACAATCCGAAAGTCAGGTTTCGGAGGGCATTGAATGGATGGTAGGCGTGACAATGAAGTTGAGACTTGGAGTAATCCCGGCGGTAAGAAAACAGAGATGACAGGATGAACGGCCCCTAAATCCCGGAGTATCAAACCATAATAAATAAGCACAAGGAAGTGGTGGTGGTTGTTCAAAGGAAGTGGAAGATGTCGTTTCCGACAGGTTTATGATTGAAATGATGAATATAAGGTAGAATTAGGGGAGACACATGGGTAGGAGGCCTATCCCCTCCCCTCACTGTATTCAAAGGCCTCTACCTTGATTGCAATGATTGTTATTCGGAGTGTAGATAGTCATCTACTGCTTCCAATTACTATCTACACCAGGGGGTGTATGTCATTAAGGTAGGGAATGTGTCTATATTAGGACCTTATTTCTTCTAACTATCTATCTACATGTTGTTGCAAAAGAGTCAAATTCCTCATTCAGAGATAAGCTCTGAAGATGTTTCAAGCCCTCAGCCTGCTAGGTTACTACGCAGACTACACAGTAGCCGCAGGGCCGAGACGTAGGCGCCTGAAAACCCTCACCTCACCTGCACACGCCTATGATTTTCCTTGGAGCGACTTGAATTCGTACACATATCTTCGGCGCTTTTCTTTATATACAGACCAAGCGCTTCCTTCGCCGTGGAAAAGTCCCCTCTCCAGCAACCTAATATGATATCTCCACGGAATACGTCAGAGACATCCGGAAAGTTGTGGTTTTTGTATCGCAACTCAATCTCAAGATCTACCTGGTGTTGTCGCTGAATTCGCGCTTTGATAACATCAGGATCATCGGATTCGAGCCGAATAGGGTTAAGTTCGCTGTAAGGGGCCCTGCCAACGACTAGTTCGTATAGGGTAGACCCTAGGGCGAAAATGTCAGAGATTTCGGTGTTTGGAAGTTCATAATCTCGAGGCAAGCAATGTGATGCTTTCTCGTAGCCCAGTGCTGGGTGACCAGGGTACTGAGAAGAGTTAAAATCGCCCAGGCGTAGATCGAGGTTATCATCGACAAAAAACTGTCGTAGCGCTAGGTCTGAGTGAATAACACCATGACGGTGAATGACAACGACAGCTTCCAGGATCTGCTGGAACCATTTTGATTGGAGTTCAGGAGTGATCCTATTTTTCTGGCAATAACTCGCAAGGTCGCCATGTGGATAGTATTTGACGTCGACATAGTCAGATCTGCCTCTGGACATGCATTCAGCAATTCGCGGCTGAATGCCAATGGTGTCATAAATTGTAGCTTCGCGGATGATCGGTTGCATATCTTCTTCACTCTCACTGCGAGGTACTTTTCTGATAATCTTCCCGTCTAGAAGATAGACTTCAGCAAAGATTCCAATAATCAAGAGCTTCTGATTGCTTGGGCGTTGGATGACTCGTTGAGTGATGATAATATGTGAAGCATTTGTGGAAGACGGGCTGTTGGTCTATGAAGCAAAGTTAATGAAGAGAATACTTTTAGGCAAGAACTGCCACCTACAGGAAGTGATTGCTCTTCATCACCCTTATATTTACAGGGCCCCCTGACTTTTGTTAAAGAGATTGTAGAGAACAGGCGCCCAAGAGGCCAGAAAGCATATCTAAAAAGATTTGAAGTGAAGTGCCAAAGTGAGGACCATATAGGCCATTTAAGTGGTTCTAGCATTACAAGCGAGATTGACAGCAAGTAGGAAAAGGTGGTATAAGGAAAGGATAACTAGCATGAGGAATTAGAGGATATCCATCGAGGTATTAACTATTAACTACCCTGAAGTGAAAGAAGGGGGATCATGATATATCACATGACGCAAATGCCTCCCTTGATAGTGTTACCGGACAATGTATGGGGGCGCCAAACTATAAAGGGTAAAACCAACCAGAAGAGGAAAATTGTAGGTACTTGCATTACAGCGCTAACAGAGCGCGTATTCAGCAAGTCCTCTCAACTCTTCGCCTATGGAAGCGCCAGCTTTGCTCATGCTGTCTCAGACATATCTTTAGTGATTAGACATGGCGTCAAGTGTGTTTTACATTTCAGCTGAGCGCCTACAGACGCTCAGCCTCGCTGTCTTGTTTCACATATTGAGCTTCTGCAATGCGTAGCCAGTCAGCACCATGGCGAAGGAAGGCGACTGTTCCCATCTGACGCGGCAACAGCGTGAGCAGAATGAGGGAGTGAGGTGGACTGTAATGATGGCATCCATTTTACATGCCGTGCCGGCCTTTATCCTTGTTCTCTTTCTTTTGCCAGTTGCTTGACTATAGATTCTTCAGCGAGCGGGCTCATGAGCATCAGGCTCTTCTGTGTTTTTGTGTGGTGAGCTTTGAGAATGAAGCTACATCTTTACTCATGACTCCTGGAGTGTTGGTTCCTTTGGAGTGCGATTATCAAGGTGAGGACGGATATGTCCAGCCGCCCACCCTTCTTCAGATTCCTCTTGCAAACCCATATTCTTCATCGAAATATTGCGTCAATCTGGATGCCTAAGTGGTCTGACCAGATTTCAGGACTGCTACAACATGCTCCTCGCCTTAATTCGATGGAGCTTCGTTGCAGCGATCTCGTGCATATCGTCATGTGTGGCACATGTCTCCCATCCAGCTCGACGCATGGCGTCCGTGGCATCCTCGCCGCTCGACTCTATCCCAGGATGTGCTTTGAATTGCGTCAAAAGCTTTATAGAATCGGATTATCCGATGAATGCGTGCGCCAGCACAACCATAGACTGTCTGTGCAGGACGAACACGAAGAGTGGTTATACGTTAGGCGAGGCATCTTTGCGCTGCAACCTGTCCTTCTGTCCCATGAATGTGACCGAGAGCTCCCATGTCTATAACATCTGTGATTCGGTAGCTGGTGCTGTTCCAAAGACACATGCTACCATAACCGCCACGGTCATGTCCACTATCTACCCAACAACAGAGACAACCACAACAACAACACCATCAACATCATTGACGACATCAACCACAACAGATACGTCAAGTTCCAAGGCTACTACATCGTCAATGGACTTGACGAGCGCCCCACCTGCGACTACCTCGAGTTCTACATCATCCACGCTTGCCAGCTTCGAAACCCCGTTGACAGTAACGCACAGCGAACAAACATCCCCAAGCACTACTAGCGATCAACCAGCATCGTCCACTTCTACTGCCACAAGTAGCGGCCTCAATGCAGCTGCAGTAATTGGTGTTTCGGTCACATCGGGAGTTTCTGGATTCTTCATTCTCGGGGTTATCCTATTCTTCTGCTGCAGGAGGGTACGGCGTCAGCATCAGAAAATTAAAGATCGAGAATTCTTCGAGATTGGAGGTGTCATGTCGGAACCTCCAGACTTTGGCTTACCGCTTCCTCGACGTCCAATTCAAGGGCCACCCAACCCTTCTTTTAGTGCCGGAAGCCAGCAATCCAATTCAGAGACTGCGAGGTTAATGTTGCCATTCAAGCCGGCAGCCCGAAACCCAGCAGTCATCGTTACAGGCCCTGGTGATTATCATTTTGCATATGATAGTCCAGACAGAATCGGTTTTGCGGTGTCAACGAATTCCGAATTTGACGCATCCCCAAGTCAGACCTCAGAGCGCACGGTTTCCGATTTGTTACCGGATAAGCCAAACATGAACCTGTATCCGAAGCCATTGAGATGGAGCAGTCACAAGCCCTCGCGACACATGAGCAGTGACACATTGTTCGAAGAGGACGCAGCGAGGCCTAGAAGCCTTCTTGGGTCTTCGAGCCAAAACAAGGGTTCCACGGGTGGAGCAAACGGACACAATGGCAGCCGGCAGTATAGGCCAAATCTGGCAATGGGCTTACCATCTAACCCGCGCGCAATGCTATATGGAATGGGCAACGCGTCGTTATCCAAGAAGAATGCTGGATATGGAGCGAAGCCGGTCTTCGCCCATACTGGGGAAAGGGTTGCGCACTACCAACAAGCAGAAATCTGTCATCAGCAAGATTACATGGACAGTCGCTGGTTAGATCCTCGCACCGGATATGGTCAGAGTGACGGGCGGCAATCAACTCGTGGAGCTGCACGTCGGTCAGTCGAGCTAGGAACGCACGATAACCTCGTAAAAACTTCAACAGACGGCTTTGAGACCATCAGCCTCAATGAACGCTCGGAGTTTCGTCGAAAGTCTCGGCGTTCTGGCGACTTTAAGCCACTCACTCCTGTGAGGGAGGTGGTCACACCATCGGGAAAGGCTGGCAAGAACGAGGGTGGCGGCTACTTTGACAGCGGTGCTTCTGTGCCGAATCCCAGAATGCCCTTCTCCGGGACAGCTCCTCCTGTGCAGGAGATCGTGTCCCGACCTCGGATCGTGCGAGGCGACGACATTAAAAGAGTGCAGATTCGCAAAGGCAAGCCACAGCCCCAAGGACTGAGAGTCCCATATTCTCCCGAGGACTGCTGGCTAGAGTCGACCCGTGATTCGCGAACTCAGTACTCTGATCACAAGTCCAAGAGACTCCCGGTTGACCCCAGCTTTCCAGTGGAGAGTATGGCACCTGGTACGCCGCGGAGGAAACCAGTGTCCTGGGGCCGCAACCTGACACCGGCACGGCGAGGCTCTGACCTGATTCTGCGCGTGGATTAGATGCCCTTCCCTTTTCCTTTTCCCTTTCCCTTTCCCTATCTGAACTCAGAGGCGTTGTGATTATCCACTTACTGCATGCATTCCCACAAGAGGTTTGAACGTTGAGTATATAGGCCGATAATACCCTGTAACATATCATCACATCGTACATGTTTGCTCGTTTTCTGCTTCTCCTCTATCATCATCTTCCTGTGTCCGAAATGAGATAGGGCTGGGGGGCTGGTATCGTTTTGGGAAGAGTGGGACACGGAATCATGTGCCAGGTACTTCCACTTTCTTATCGATACTTTTCTTCCTTACTCTCTCGGTGTAACTGAGTACCAGATGATAGAATAGAGAAAACATGGCTGGACCTTGAGTCACTATCCTCCGTACTCAGGCCACAAATGGAAAAGCGAAGTCGACATGTCAAAACCATATCAGCCCTCGGCAAACAGCAACTTTCATCACCGTCTTTTCAATGCAACAATACCTACCCTACCCTAAGATACTGAGGCATATCCATGATATCCATACCCAGCTACTTAATTGTCCAGATAAGCAGAGCCACGATGCACAGTGACACACCATCCATGAAGCATCCTCGACCCCAACACAAAATCATTCACGGAATTTTCATCCGTACTTATCTAGTCTGTGGTATATCATGGATATTTACCTCAGAGTACATCATCATACGAAAATATCTGAACAAAGAAGGTAACGGGTGTTGTCCTGGTCCAATCCAGAGGCGCCATCACATGCGAAGGGGGAAATGTGGCTGAGAGAAGGAATGTATTTCTACCACCTAGGGACTCCGTACTTGGACCTAAAATTACCAGTTGTCATACTGTACTCTGCTTGGTGCGGGCATCCCCAAGGGGCTGTTGTTTGGTTTGGGGTTGGAATTTGGGAGACTGAATTATGTTCTCTCTTGTTCTGTTATGTCTCAATTATCAGCAAGATGGACAAATATTGGATCTCTTGCCTGTGTTAATTGAAGTTACGATTGTGTAGTAGTAGGTACAGTCCGGTCCCTCCGTACCTCCGTACCTCGCCTCCCTCCCCCGAGTGCTTCATACCCGAGCAAC